TGAATATAATCAGAAGACTTCGATAATAACTTCCCTAGAATATTCTATGCAATGGTGAGTAGAATGATGGATCCATTGTCCCTATCTATTCTCGCAAATATCTTGGGAAAATGATTTCTCTAATGTAATCTGGGGTATCTCTCTTTCCTAATTGAAAAATCGATATTTCTTCAAGTGATAAACGTCTTTATTATAAAAGCAATGGGATGTTGGGGTGGAGGAAGGATTTACATCGTATATTTACGGCAATCACTACCTAGGATTGAATCCCACATTGGACACTTTTTTTTCTTAAGAAAATAATCCTTTAATGACTTTCGCTTCGTGTAAAGTACAACCCCATCAATGATTGTATATAACCATAAGATGTTCTGGTACCATGTATTTGTTATTGAAGCAAGAAGTTGAATATTCTTTGATTGTGAAAGCTTGTAAAAAATAGGAACTTACCCCCTATTATTAATTTGTTTATTTTTGCTTTGTCGTCTGTTTTGCATGAGTTGAATCTGGTTAGAACGATGTATGTAAATTAGATGATTCTTTTGTTGCCTTAAATACGAGGTAATTAACTCGTTTCTCTCTATATATCTAAAAATGTTTAAAGTTTAATAAATTAATTTTATAAATCAGAGAGTTGTCTTCAAAAACGATCCAGCAGTTAAATTCGAATCATCGAGGATGGTGCACTGCAATACGATGGCGTTGTAGACTTCTGAGACGAGGTCAGACTGTCTGTCACTACAGAAAAGATCCAGTGTGAGGAATCTCGTGGCTTATGAAAATGCTAAAAGAGTGGATGGTCAAATCACGCCGCATTTGGAGCCAGCGGAGCCTTTGGCGCTCCAGGAAAGTCCGACGACAATGTCTGCGAACAGGACGTCCCATGTGATGTGTCAGCTCTGCCATCTAAACTCCACTCTGAGGTAAACCACGGATTTTTATCCCTCATCTTCGTTTATTCGTCTGACAAGGTACAAAGTAAACAGATAATTCCTGGAAATAGTTCGGCTGGAATTTTTTGCAACAAACAAAGTGTAACGTAAATCCTGGAGTTACGTTTTAAGACAGTTGAAAAGCCTCATGTAATCGAAGACATTCATAAATTTAAAAGTCCTTTTGAAGACTGGAAAGAAGGTTTTGCCATGATTGTGTGTGGGACAAAAAGATTTAGTAAGAGGGTAGTGTAACTACGATGTCCTTGGGAGGCCTAAACCGCCCACCACCTATAGACCGGGGGGTGGAAGGACCAATCAGGAAGGAAGAAGTCAATCTGGCCAGCAGTGAAGGCTCTTGTTGAGAACGTGGTTAGATGATTCTGTATGTTACTTGCTTTGCTCTCCTTAATACACGAAAGTAAATGAAGAGGGGTCGAACAGAGATCCCTGGTGGTCATTTGACCATTCTTTGACAGCACAGGCGCTACAATATTGTGTTACCGTTACCAAAACGTTTTGCAGAACATTGGACTAACCTATAGTGATAGTAAAGATAAATAGGTGATGGGAAGTTGGGAAGAAGGATCAACGTGGAAACGGATTAAAATGGATTGATAGAGTATCTCTGTGCGCATGTGTGTATGTATATAAGCCTGCGCGTGTATGTATGTGTATATATGTGTGGGCGTGTGTTTATGTATGTGAGCTTGTGTATATATGTGAACGTGTGTGTCTGTGTATATACGTGAACGTGTGTGTCTGTGTATATATTTTAGCGTGTGTGTATGTGTATATATGTGTGTGTGCGTGTTTATGTAGGTGAATTTGTGTATATACGTGAGCTTGTGTGTCTGTGTATATATGTGTGAGCGTGTGCGTCCGTATATATGTGTGTGTGCACTGATGTATGTTGAAGATCTCATTAAGAGATTACAAGTGAAGCAGAACTTGATGAAGACAATAATTGGATTACAGCTCCACACTTCATTGGCTGTATAATCCGTTTAGAGGGAAACTGGCGGACCTCTAGACGGTCGTTCCAGCCGGACATGGTCTCAAAAGTTATTTTGTGGCAGAAGCAATTGTTCTTGGTATATATACCATATATATATCAACGATCAGTTGATATTTATTCCGATAAATGGCGCAAGCCATCAGAAAATTTTAGTTTCCCGATCAGGTAATGCCTTTTTGACGTGACAACGTCTTAAATTAGGTTGCGGCTGGGAGTCACTTATGAAAAAGTGTAACGCCCGGTAACGTTACGATGAGTCATCGAACGAGAGTGCTGCGCGCGCAGCGCTAGAGAATTAGGCGCATTGAATCGGCGCATGCTTGTCTCTGTCTTTGTCTTTCTCGAACGTTCTTGGCGTTGGAAAAACAAGAAAGCGTCATAATACAAGTTCACACGTGTGGTTAAAGTATCGTCAGCTGTGTCTGTAGTGAAAATGTGGAGTGCTTAGATTCGTCATTTACAACAACTACAACAATAAAGGTAAATAATTGTACACTGATATTTCATTATCGTAAACTATGATTGATTGATTAATTGTTAGATTGACACAAAAGTTGAGAAACTGAGTTTATAGGTTATGTCATACTATTGATAAATGTTGATAGTGTTAAGTAAATTATTAGTTTAAAATTAATTAATTAATTAATTATTATTTTACAAATTTTAAATAGTTTCAAATTTATTTAGCAAATATTTGAACCTTCGATCTGAATAAATGTTTTGATTTTCGAATTGATTCTTTAAAATTACAAATATTAAGAAAAAGTGGCAGATATAAGAAAACTTTATTTAAACTGTGTTGAGCAAGAATTTTAACATCTAATTTAAGTAAATGTTTTAATTTTCAACTTCATCATTTACAATTACAAATTTTATTTAATTTCAAATTTATTTAGCAAAAATTTGAACCTTCGATCTGAATAAGTGTTTTGATTTTCAAATACCAACGCGGCTGGTGGAGTGGCGATCTATCGTAAATTATCATCGACATCTACGGCGGAAGTGTTCCAAGTTGCGATTACAGACGTAACTCGTGTCATTAAAACCAAGGGTGACATGTGCATGACTGAAGTTACTTGCTTCGCCGCTAATACTAGCTTCAAGTTTATACTCGGTGCTGTATATATTCATCCAGGAGCTAGTATGCAGGATATTGGAATGTTACTATGGCAAGGACTCGGTCCGTACATTCACAACAGCCAGTACGTGCCACCGTTCGTGCAAGTTGATTCTAGTATACCGATTATTCTGTGTGGTGATTTTAACAAAAACGTAAAGCCTGACAACTCGTTTCTTAAATTCATGAAAAATACGTATAATCTTGATTGCGTATCAAACGTTTCTAAGTCAACTACGTTAAAAGGAACAACTATCGACTTGACTTTCGCAAGACACATTACAGCAGAAACACTTCCTTTCATTTCATATTTCTCCTATCATCGTCCTATCCTCAACAAAATCACTCAAATAGGAATTAGTTAAGTTTTAGTTTACATGTACAATGTTTTAGTAAACAAAATATATTTCTATAGTTAAAATTTGTGCAATTCTTATTTTCATTCAATTCCTTGTCCCTATTGTGCAATTTAATTATATTCATATCAATAAATATTCTACCGTTGTCACGTAAAATCTTCGCCCGTAAAACCGACTTTACAGGCAACCATTGTTTTTATATATAAATATAGAAATTTTCGGAAGGATATTGTTCCATAAAAAATAAAGTCACATCTCCAGACAAGATAGACGTCAAAACGAGACGCCATCGATTGACCATCGCCGCGGACTCAGGTCGATGACAAAGCCACAACACCAGCTTTGGAAAACTGAGAAGCGCCCACATGGAGATCGTGGTTTCAAGCTAATGGCCCTCGTCAATTCAAATCGAGCTTTATTCCATGAGATCTACAAGGGATCAAATAATATCTTCACAATCCGCCAAAGAGGTGTTTAGCTTGGAAAGTGGCTAGGTCAATTCTATGGCCAAAATATAGATGGAAATTTTGCCGGGAAGATATTAATCTATAAAAAATAAATGTCTCCTATAAGGGCCGTAGCCTGAAACCATGATCTGCAACTTCTCAGTTTGCCAGAGCTGGTTGTTTGCGCCTAGTTATGTGAATAACTTGCTTGGCTGCATTGTTCTATGGTCATGTAAATTTTTATTTCTTTCTTTTAATTATGTAAATATGTATATGTATATAAAAGGAGTTGTTGTTGTTGTCGTGTCCAATGAAGCCTCAGATGTCTCCATGCATCTCCATCACATCAGCAGAAATATCCACTAGCTTGCTCTTCATTGGGAAATGGGTGCCGTTGCCACGTTAGTCACCTTGGAAACGAACCAGAATTTGGTCAAATATTCCAAGGGTCCAGGGGGGACCGCAGGGAGGTGTGGTCGAACTTCTCCCCCTCCCCCCCCCCCATATAAAAGGAGTGAAAGATTCAATAAATTCAGTTAGTTAGCTAAAACGAGTGAGGCGTTCTTCCTCTATTCAAACAGCTTGCTACATCGCATTCTTGCGAAGGGACAACATTCTCGGTAGTCAATCCGCCGGTCTGGTCTTGTAAAGTACAGTCAACAATAAGCTCTGCAAAATATCGTCACCATCTGAGATCAGACTAGAGGCTGAAGGAGCTAAAGGAAGTCCTGGCTAACATTGTCAGGAACCAACAGCTGGTGTTGTGGCTTTGTTACTGACCCGAGGCCGTTAGTTTGCGGCGACGATCAATAGATAACTTCTTGTTTTGACGTTTATTTTGGCGGGAGAGGCGACCTTTATTTTATATATAAAGGTATATGTGTAATATAATATAATTCGGCTTATGATTGTAAAACGACATTTGAAATACCATCCCGCATGTGTTTCTTTTCAACGAAAAATCAAAATTCATTTCAAGGAGAAACAACGATTATTTCTAACCTTTTGGATGAGGTATGAAAGGGTGAATTGTGAAGAGTAATGATAAACGGAAAAATAAAAGTGTACAGGGATGGGAATCGAACCCACAGTGTTCCGCTTACCGGGCAGATGCCATATCCACAATATGCCCAGGGTAGCCTAGTGGACATGGCATCTGGCCGGTAAGCCGGTGGGTTCGATTCCCATCCCTGGACACTTTTATTTTTCCGTTTATCATTACTCTTCACAATTCACCCTTTCATACCTCATCCAAAAGGTTGGATATAATCGTTATTTCTCCTTGAAATGAATTTTGATTTTTCTTTGAAAAAAACACATGCGGGAAGGTATTTCAAATGTCGTTTTACAAAGTATATGTGTGTTATGTTTTTAAATAAAGCACTTCTTTCCCTAATATTTTCCATTTGATAAAGTAAAGGAAATCCTGATAGTTTCATTTCTTATAAATGGATGTCGCTCTAAAACCTTATGGTTTAAATATTTGCCTTAATCGATTTTTATATATTTATGTATCTTCTTATTCTTCCGCTGATTGGTCCTTTTCTATCGCATGGATATAATGGTCCAATCAGCGTTTATATAATCAAGAATAATCAAGAAATGTAATGACTTTTCTTAACTCAGTTGTTACATAGAGCATTATGATACAATATTGAAAATCCAAAAGCAGGGTTTAGAACTAAATATTCTTCAAGAAAGATAAAAAGGCATCTCCTTATCGTGCAACTGAAAGTTGCTGCTGACTTTCGTCATCTATCGTAATAAATATTTACTATTCGTTGATTTTTAATTATTTCAGAATTGACCAATCAAGAAAGGTTAACCACTTACGCGTTTCGGACAGTTGGCTCTCGTCAGAATGATGCAAGCTGTACCTCAACGAATAACTATTTTTTTATTATATTGCCCAATAAAAATAACATTAATACTGGTCATTTTATTCGTGCTTTCAGTAAAACAAATGTATTTTCAGAACTTAAAATTATATTCAATTTTATAATATTTTATATTTGGGAGCAATTTAAAGTTTGCAATACACCCATACCTCGCTTTGCGTCGGGGTTACGTTCCAAAAAAACACTATGCAAATTGAAACGACGCAAAGTGAAAATATATGAAGGCGCAATCAAAAATAAAGGTGTTGCCATATTTTAGGAAAAAAAATCAAAAAAAATTAAAGACTCGAATCCAAAACAACGCAACTTCGAAAATCTAACGACGCACAGTGAAAATCAGTTAAAATTAAGCAGCGACGCAACTTCGAAAAAAAAGCAAAACGAAACGAGGCAAAGCGAGGTTTTAGTGTATTAATTCTGTAATTGTAATTTTCAACAACATAGAAATGATCAATTTTATGATAAAGTCATATAGTACGATGTGCTATTGTTTGAATAAAGGGATATTTTTTACAATAATAAAAATCACTTTTTATTAATTTTTTCCGTAGCATGTGTATATGAGTGCGATGGTCAAATGCTCTAAATATTGAGGTGAGGTTGGCATTGATCCCAATAGTAAGAGGATTCCACTTAGAATGGAAGTGTCAATGTGTAAACGCTAATGAGAGAACTCGGGTACTTCCAAGTAACCTATCCGAGACTGAGGTTCCGGATTTCGACACTATTCTTGGAGATGTCAGACTGAAATTTGATCTTTGAGTTACTCATTCCAAAGTAGGTGCGTGTCAATTGTCATTCTACATGCCTTTGTTGGTGGCGTGTTCTAGAATGTTCTGTAGTTTATCTGTCATTCTACATGTTGGTGGTGGCGTGTTCTAGAATGTTCTGTAGCTCACCTGTCATTCTACATGTTGGTGGTGGCGTGTTCTAGAATGTTCTGTAGCTCACCTGTCATTCTACATGTTGGTGGTGTGTTCTGTTCTGTAGCTCACCTGTCATTCTACATGTCTATGTTGGTGGTGTGTTCTTGAATGTTCTGTATAGCTCACCTGTCATTCTACATGTTGGTGGTGTGTTCTAGAATGTTCTGTAGCTCACCTGTCATTCTACATGTTGGTGGTGTGTTCTAGAATGTTCTGTAGCTCACCTGTCATTCTACATGTTGGTGGTGTGTTCTAGAATGTTCTGTAGCTCACCTGTCATTCTACATGTTGGTGGTGTGTTCTAGAATGTTCTGTAGCTCACCTGTCATTCTACATGTTGGTGGTGTGTTCTAGAATGTTCTGTAGCTCGCCTGTAATTCTACATGTTGGTGACGTGTTCTAGAATGTTCTGTAGCTCACCTGTCATTCTACATGTTGGTGGTGTGTTCTAGAATGTTCTGTAGCTCACCTGTCATTCTACATGTTGGTGGTGTGTTCTAGAATGTTCTGTAGCTCACCTGTCATTCTACATGTTGGTGGTGTGTTCTAGAATTTTCTGTAGCTCGCCTGTAATTCTACATGTTGGTGACGTGTTCTAGAATGTTCTGTAGCTCACCTGTCATTCTACATGTTGGTGGTGTGTTCTAGAATGTTCTGTAGCTCACCTGTAATTCAACCTGTCTATATTGTAGGCGTGTTCTAGAAATTGGTTTCTGCTGTGAATAGACACCATTTTTATGAAGGAAAAAATACTTCACGTATTATTTCTATTTCCCCTGTTATTTACAGCTTGTCGTTGGAACGATATAAAAACAAATTATAAATTCGTTTCCTCCTATATTCTCTGTTTCTAGGGCCACACATATATGTTAAATATATCTTTACCTGAGTTTATTCTAGTTTTTATAAAGGAATCCACGTAGAGTATAATAAATACGTTTTTAAACCTAAATATAAACAACAACAAAATGTCATTAAGACCTTGTGATATTATACCGATTCTCCAAGCAGAAATATAGGGTACATACAGGAATGACAGTAATAGTACTAGTAATCAGCAATATTATTTACAGTCTATTAAATAAGGGAGGAAAGGAAGAAAGGGCTTAGCATAAACTTATATACAAGCAGTCGAGAACAAGCAGTTATTTAAAGAACAATAATTAGTAGAATTGACATAAATATACATAATTATCGGGGATCTTAGTTTTATACATGGATGTATCAAGGGTAGAGGGTTGTCTAAAGTCGGAATATAAAGATATTAGGGGTTAAATAATTAACCCATTCACCCAGTTGTTCAGTAGAAGCCACCGGTTTCATTAAGTTATTCAGAATATCACTCGCACCTTACCTAAATTTAAACATTGAGTTATACATATGTATATACACCCATGCCTCGCTTTGCGTCGGGGTTACGTTCCAAAAAAACACGACGCAAATTGAAACGACGCAAAGTGAAAATATGTGAAGGCGCAATCAAAAACAAAGGTGTTGCCATATTTTAGGGGAAAAAATTAAAGACTCGAATCTAAAACAACGCAACTTCGAAAATCTAACGATGCACAGTGAAAATCAGTAAAAATTAAGCAGCGACGCAACTTCGAAAAAAACGCAAAACGAAACGACGCAAAGCGAGGTATTGGTGTATAATATTAGTTCTTAAAATTAAAGATATTTCAGTCAGTTAATTTTTTTAATAAAAATGTACTGGCCGAAGTATCTTTAATTTAATGAACTATGAATGCCGGCCAGGCAGCCTCTATCTTTACCATAAGTAAAATATTATTTATTATATTTCTCAATATATACATTAACAATATAACACACAAAGAATGTAATATATTTTCTCCCCCTTTCAATATCATTCATATTTAAAACATGTAAATAAAAAAAATTATATAAAAACAATGGTTGCCTGTAAAGTCGGTTTTACGGGCGAAGATTTTACGTGACAACGGTAGAATATTTATTGATATGAATATAATTAAATTGCACAATAGGGACAAGGAATTGAATGAAAATAAGAATTGCACAAATTTTAACTATAGAAATATATTTTGTTTACTAAAACATTGTACATGTAAACTTAAACTTAACTAATTCCTATTTGAGTGATTTTGTTGAGGATAGGACGATGATAGGAGAAATATGAAATGAAAGGAAGTGTTTCTGCTGTAATGTGTCTTGCGAAAGTCAAGTCGATAGTTGTTCCTTTTAACGTAGTTGACTTAGAAACGTTTGATACGCAATCAAGATTATACGTATTTTTCATGAAATTAAGAAACGAGTTGTCAGGCTTTACGTTTTTGTTAAAATCACCACACAGAAGAATCGGTATACTAGAATCAATTTGCACGAACGGTGGCACGTACTGGCTGTTGTGAATGTACGGACCGAGTCCTTGCCATAGTAACATTCCAATATCCTGCATACTAGCTCCTGGATGAATATATACAGCACCGAGTATAAACTTGAAGCTAGTATTAGCGGCGAAGCAAGTAACTTCAGTCATGCACATGTCACCCTTGGTTTTAATGACACGAGTTACGTCTGTAATCGCAACTTGGAACACTTCCGCCGTAGATGTCGATGATAATTTACGATAGATCGCCACTCCACCAGCCGCGTTGGTATCTGAGTTAGGTCGATTATTTTCCCTGGATACGCACTCATAACCCTTGATTGGAGTTGGTTCACAAGTGTCGCGCATCCACGTTTCAGTCAATACTAAATAGTCTGATCGTGGTATCACTGTATCTGTTTCAATGTCCGCGGCATAGGCACTTAAACTCTGACAGTTGATGTTCGTTACAATAAGTTGTCCAGCGTCGGTTGCGTCGTCACAGAATTTTACGGCTTGTTTGGTAATTGTGTCTAGAGTGTGTCCACGAAGTCGTAAGTATTCGAGTTACGCTCTCTGTGATCGAAACACTTCGGAATGTGCTGTAAATCCCATCGACCATTCGCAGACGTAGAATCTTCATTGCATCGTATAAGACATTTTGAGGCGTGGCTCCACGCCTGTCACTCCGTCGTATTTCACTGGTCGCCATCATGTACGGTGTCACTGAAATGTTCATGTTGAAACGGCGGGGCTCTCCGAAGTATATCGCAGGAAATGATAGTTCTTCTGCATGACGGTCATAAATGATGTTAAGAGGCGTTGCTCGATGTCCTGGTGCGATGTCAAGACAATCCTCTTCATTCCACAGTAGTGTGTGCTGTCTCGCAGCAAGAACTTCAGACTCGGGCGTATATTCGGCGGAGATTGCTTCGATCCGATTAGCAGGATCATCTTGAAGGCCTTCATCTGATGGCAATGCAGGCTGCAGTCTTGACAAATCTATTTTGATATCGTACAAACGATATA